TGTAAATCAAAACAATCTAATCTTTACAAAAAATAAAATTTTTAATTAGGTTTAGATTAAAGCTGGGGTTAAAATTAGAAAAAGTATAGGTTATACTAAAATTTTGCAAGAAATTTTTTTTATTAGAACACAAAAGATGGTTTTTTCAGTAAAATTTTGAGATATAATTAATTTTTTAAAAATTCATTATTTTTGTTACACAAAGGGTGATCTGCATGTTATACCTGATCTTAAATTTTAATTGGTCACAATACTCTAGCACCATAGTGCTTTAGCACTATAAAATAAATCCCTTTAATTATTATCAAATATTATCACATAGTAGATTTTCATGACATAAATATTCTTGATTGATTCTCATGACATAATGATCTACATTTGTCCAATAAAGATCCAAACAAATCTCACAATGCAGGCCTACTGAAAAAATTATTTGCAATTAATTTTTGCAATTAAAATTATCATGAATTATTTCGGTTTGCAAAATTATGTGAAATTTGAAGATCATTATTGTGGTTTGCAAAATTATGTGAAATTTGACTCACTCATTTGACTCATTTGGGATTTACTAATTTCCCCAACCACTTCTGATTGGCTGTACTAATTATTCAATTATTGGAGTATTTATATTAGTAATCAAAAAATTTTCAAATAAAAATTCATGCTATTAGACTAGAATCAGTATTTTGGTATTATATTATGTCAGGAATGATGCTGAAATCAGATGATGCTGAAATTCACATGATCACATGATGATCTTCCATATAAACAAACCTAAAGTGCTTATAGAACCCTAGCATCACCAACTAAAAAATTTTGCTGTTAATGTTAAGTTTAGGGTTTGGGTATGATCATATTTTAACTACCCTAGTGGAATTAGATGTAATATATGTAAAATTAAACCAAAAAACCTTCCATACTAGAGTGGTAACTCAACTAGTAAATCAAAACTATATCAGCAGTATTAATAATTTTACTATGATCAGATTTTTCATGTTATATGAACAAAGATCAATTTAATCAATTTAATTGTTATATCATCGCTATATGAACATTATTTAATTATCGGTACAGTATTAATTATTGCTATCACTGTATAAATTGTTATTTATGTAATTCTTGTTATATAATAGTTATTGTTATATTATTGTTAGTTAATTATTGTTTTATTATCATTATCGTTATTAATGCTATCATAATATTACTTTCGTAATAAAAAGTAAAAAATATCATTTTTAGCCAAATAAATTTTCGAACAATTTGTTTGCTTTTTCTTCATGTTTATCATCATTATCGAAATTGTCCTGATTCAATTTGATTTAGAACTTGATTTTGCTTGCTGTTGTTTCTTGGATCGAAGATCCATCAAATCCAAAGACTTACAACTGATTTCAGAAAGTGAAATATTTGATAATCGCAATTTTGATTGTTGACGATTACTTTTCATATTTGGATGAGTTTTGAGGTTCCATTTATTGAAGAGACCTTCAACTTGTTGTTGGTGAACAACAATGTACCAGATCTAATATTTGATGAATTCAAATATTTTGGAAAACTGATTTAAGAACTTTTGGCTTTCCTAAATAAATTGGAAAAATTCATAATTAAATGTAGAATCATATAATGTATCTGACAAACCAAAATCATTAAATTTGCCATATTCAATATCTGATTCTAAAAATTTTGTATAACATAACTCTCGCAAGATGGGAACTGATAACCAAGACATTTTTAAAATTACAAAAGCAAAGCTTTGTGCAAATTCTCGTCCATATTTTCTACCCAAATGGCAAATACTTAATGGTAAATAGAGCCAGCAATCTAACCATTTTTGGTGAAGTTCTAATGCTTTTTTAGTACCACGTTCAAGATCTAAAATAAGCTTATTAAGTTGATGATCTTCTAATAAATTAATATTTTCTAACAATTCTTTTTCAAAAAATAAATAGGGATCTTCAACAATATTTCTAAGTTTC